TATAAACCCAATTTAGGATTAAATAGATACTTTTGGTCTTTTAATATAATATGTGTCTCTTGTAAACATATAATATCATTCTTATGCTGCTTCAAGTAGTAAAATATTTTTCTCCTTTTTTGTGGTGAGTTCAGTCCATTAACATTTAAAGTTATTAATTTAGCCATCTTTTGGCTTTTGAAGCTTCTGAATCATCCCTGGCAGATCCATCATGACAGATCTTTTAGGTCTGGCCCCTCCCACTGGCTCCGAAGTAATTGAACATGTTTGGGGCATAACCTCTTTCTGCTGCTCTCTTTCCTTACGCTTGTGGGCCGCACGTGTCATTCTCTGGTCTTTTGGGTCCTGTTTTGCCTCCAACATTTGTAAATTCTGAAAATCTCCTGCAGATGGCGACATAGCTCCAGGCAGATCCATATTCAGTTGTTCCACTCCTTCTTCTGTTCCTTTAACTGGTGATGTAGAAGATGAATCAGCTTTCAGAACCGTTAGATAAAAATGCTTTGCCTTCTGTACTGTATTGAATCTGTAACGGTTCCCAGCATATGTAAAGGCCATTCCAACTGGTATTTCCCATCTAAAAGGTATTTGCTGCGTCTTCAACTCTTGAGCCAAGAAAGCAAACTCCTTTCTTTTTCTTAAAATCTTTGAAGGTATTTCTTTCAAAAGTATAATATCCTGAGCAGCAATCTGAAATCTCTGTTGGTAAAAGGCCTGTATAATTTCATTTCAACGTGTTTTTCTAGAAAAATAAACAACAACATCCCTAGGCTGTTTTCTCTGACGTGCGACCCATGAATTGACTCTAAATATTTTTTCAATCTCTCCATAGATAATTTCAGGGTCGCAGTCTAAAACCAACGCTAAGGCAGCTGATACCTCTTCTATCAGTTTCTCCTGTGCATCCTCTCGCAGGCCTCTGATTCTTATTGCATATTCCATCTCTCTGAATTGTGTCATTACAATGTCATTTTGAGTAATCTCTATACTCTCCTCTACTTTTTCCATTCTCTCCTCCATCCCTTCCATTTTTCCCCCCACTTCCTCCACACAAGTCTCTATACGCTCCATATGAAAAGCAACGCCCTGAAAGATTTGAGACATACTCTCACACAATTCATCATTCTTTTTAGCAAGAAGCTCTTCTGTCTCCACTCTCATTTGTTGCACAATTTGTTTAGACATCTGCATCTGCATCAAAGAATCCTGCAAATCCTTTAAAGTAATATAAGGTGGTGAGGAGGGTGGAGGAGTTTTTGCTCTCTGATGCGTAGTCTGTATAGCTGGAGAAGAAGCAGCTGGCTTAGGTGCTGCAGCAGCTGCACCACGTTTAGAAGCCATTCTTGAGTTTAAAAGAAGTCTTAATATACAGTCCAAAGTAGCTAAAGATCAAACAAATTTTCCTTTAATTTTTCCTTAATTTTTGAAAATTCTTTACAGTCTTAACAATGTAGCAATCCACAACCGGAAGGAAAGTGAAAGTGTCTCTTTAGAACAAAGAAGCAGCTAAGCCGCAGCCATTTTTTCCCCCCAAAAGTTAACTTTCGATTTCAGTCATTTGAGAAGACTTTAATCTTAAGAGTCAAAGTTTTAATTTCATCATGAAAAGTCCAAGTTTCCTAGTCAGCTCCGTCTGTTAATATTACTCACAGTTAAGTTCGGAAAAAAGATCAGAGGTGGAGACGGCGTCTGGCTTCGCTAAATAGCGAAGACGTCCCGATCTGCGGAGAAACTCTGAGCTCCGGTGGAGTTCACACCTTCGCCTCGCTGGGAGCCCCCAGGGAGACTAGGGAACTCGACTCCTACTCTAGAGTAAGCTCTCCTTCTCTCCTTTGCCCGGAGAGAAGTTTCAAATCGCCAAACAGCTGATGCGCGCTGTTTTGGCGATTTTTACACAGTCCCGGACGGGAGGCTGTCAAAAAGCCTCCTTCGGCAGCCGCCAAACCACCGGAAGTCTTTCTTTTCTTTTCAATAAGGCTTTTTCATAGTCTGTATTTGGTTAATTATTTTCTTCTATTTATTTGGCTGCCCATCTTGCAGAAGTGATAGTGAATGGCTAACACCAGTTTAAAAGACTGCCAAGTACAAAACAAAGAAAAATATAAAAATAACAATAAGGAGCAAGAAATGGCAACTGGGATGATAATTAACAAAATTTCCCAAGCTTAAACTAACCTGACCCTCATGCCTGAGATCCCATCCAAGTCATCAAGGTTTCTGAAGCACCAGTAAACCTGATCATGGTCAGTCAGCTGCTCCAAAGGGCAGGTCCCATGACAGGAAAGGCTGCTTCCTGAGTCTATATGGTAATCTTTGATGAATGGGATCTGGAGTATCATCATACTTTTACAGCTGATGGGCTGAATAGAAACAGTAGGAAAGAAGTGGTCCTAAGGTTTGGTGGTTAACAGAACCAAGGCTAGAGCCTATGCAACATGGTGTTAGCCCAGGCTCTACTAGTCACATGATTCTTGCCTTTCTCAGAAATGGAGGAGATTAAACATGCTTGGATGTTTTGATTATACCAAATTGGAATGTATCTTTACCACAGGCTAGTGTATGTTGTAACAGATAAAATACTGGGTGGAGATACAAGGACTTGGGTCAATTTTAATAATAATAATAATAATAATAATAATAATAATAATAATAATAATAATAATAATAATAATAATAATAATAATAATAATAATAATAATAATAATAATACTAATAATAGTAAAGTTGGAAGGGACCTTGAATGTCATCTAGTCCAACCCCCTGCTCAGGCAGAAAACCCTATAAATGTACTTTGCTCCAATTACATGTTATTTTTAATGCTTTTTGAAAGCGTATCCAAGAGTCATTGGAGATGAATGAAGAGGTTCAAAATGAAATAGTAACAAATGTGCAGACAAGTACTCTGAAGTCTGAAGAATGTTCAGGCGCTGATGTTTCCAATCCACTTGAAAAATACATGAAAATAATACACCAGAATAAAGATAAAGAACAGGAAAAAAAGGTAATATTTTGAAAACATGAATAAGGTAATTTGAAGATATCAGAAGTATAGTTATATACATTTCCTACCAACTGCATAGTTCTTTTCTCACTAAAGTAAAAGCTTTGCTAGACATAACCAATCAAAAGTGAAAATCAAAATTTTATCTTATGGGAAAAAAATTGGAGGTTGCTTAGGGTGACTACACAAGCACAATTAGGCAAGTGAGTATTTTGACCATATCATTTCCATGCATATTTTCCACCTTCAAGCTGTATAAACTTGAATGCTTAATGGATATAAGCATATCAGGTAATGTGTATTTGTGTAATGAGGGAGAGTGTGGCCTAAGGAAATCAACACACTATATCAAGATGTGCATAATTATTAGGCAGCTTCTTTTCCTTAGGCAAAATGGACCAAAAAAGAGATTTAACTGACTCTGAAAAGTAAAAAATTGTAAAAAGTCTTTCAGAGGGATGAGCACTCTTGAAATTGCTAAGATATTGGGGTGTGATCACTGAACCACCAAACATTTTGTTGCAAATAGTCAACAGGGTCGCAAGAAAGATGTTGAGAAAAAAGATGGACATTAACTGCCAAAGATTTGAGAAGAATCAAACGTGAAGCTACCCGGAACCCATTATGCTCCAGTGCTGTCATATTCCATAACTGCAACCTACCTGAAGTGCCCAGAAGTATAAGGTGTTCTGTGCTCAGAGACATGGCCAAGATAAGGAAGGCTGGCAGTAGAGAGTTGATTTTGAGTCCATCTTCAACCCGAAAAGATCCAACTAGCTTATCTTTAATAATACCAGCCCATACCAGTATCCCACCTCCACCTTGCTGGCGTCTGAGTCAAAGTGGAGCTCTGTGCCTGTAACTGATCCAGCCACAGGCCCAGCCATCTGATCGGTCAAGAGTCACTGTCATCTCATCCATAAAACCTTTGAAAAATCTGTCATCAGTTATTTCTTGGCTTACCATTTCAACTTATGTATTTTGTTAGTGGTGGTCGGGTTTCAGCCTTCCTTACCTTGGCCATGTCTCTGAGCACTGAACAGCTTGTACTTCTGGGCACTCCAGTAGGTTGCAGTTATGGAATATGACAGCACTGGAGCATAATGGGTTCCTGGTAGCTTCACGTTTGATTCTTCTCAAATCTTTGGCAGTTAATTCTCAACACGTTTCTTGCGACCCTGTTGACTATTTGCAACAAAAGTTTGATGGCTCTGTGATCATGCCCCAATATCTTAGCAATTTCAAGAATGCTGCAATCCTCTGAAAGACTTTTTACAATTTTTTACTTTTCAGAGTCAATTAAATCTCTTTTTTGGCCCATTTTGCCTGAGGAGAAGAAGCTGCCTAATAATTATGCAAACCTTGATATAGGGTATTGATCTCAGGCCACACCCTCCCTCATTACACAAATACACATCACCTGATATGCTTATATGTAAGGATTCAAGTTTATGCAGCTTGGAAAATATGCATGAAAATGATGATATGGTCAAAATACTCACTTGCCTAATTGTGCATACAGTGTAAATATGAATGACTTGTATAATTCAGTCTAATATCAGAATTTAAAAAGATTACATATCTTTATCTTAAACTGACTCATTACATATTTCCATATTTTTCTTGTGTACTTTTCTAGTTTTCAGTCTTGCATCAGTACACAATTAGTAGGTAGTTATAGCATTTAGTCTGGGTGATATTCTTCAAAAATGAATGATTGCATGTACATATTTTTGTTGTACAAGAAAAGAAACCATAGACTATGGTTTGGACAAAAATAGCTAAACATACAATCTTTTTTTTAGAAATTTCATTAGTTTACTAACCAGAAATGAGTTTCAGAAGTTCAAGGTATCCTGTTGAACATCCTGTCTCCTGGTGGGCAGGGTATGATGATAATGTCCTCAGATTCTAGCACACGGCTTTAAATTTGAATTTTAACATAAAACTGCTGACATAGCTATTTGTTATATTATTCATTGATTACTTTTCAAGAAATGCAAGATCAAATCTTACACAATCCAAGATTATCTACAGATAAGAGAATACCAGCTATGAATTCCAGAATGTATATGGCTTCTCCAAGGCATTAACTGATTTAATATAATCTTTTTCTTTGTCTACTTTATAGTAGTTTGGCTCATTTCACTAATCCTTAATTTTGTTTAATTTTAGCTTAGGTGGTGAGCATACAAGATCAGTGATAAGACATTCCAAATTCTAATGATCAGTTCAGTTCTGAAGCTGAAAGAAAGCCAATTGCCATTTAGTTCCTTACCTCTTTTAACTGTTTCTTGCATTGGCCATTCCCTGAAATATTGTCAAACTAGAACTTAAAGAGTTCTTTTTTTTATCTTTGCTTCGCCATATTTTGCACCATATCCGTTGAATGGTAAAAAATGATGGCAAGGATTTATCTGACTGTAAACACTTAGATTGAACAGGTGTAGTTAACTGATAGCTGTTTGCTTTATATAATTTTTGGATACTTAGATTTATTTTTGGATAGTTAGATGTAAATATTTAGATTTAAACAGGTATAGTTAACTGATAGCTATTTGATCATATAAGTTTTTCATTGCCTCCAATCTTTTCAATTTTTAAATGAATCTCCTCTAACAACTGTTGCAGTTTAATAAATAGATAATAAATAATCCTACCCTCAAAATTCTATTTATCCCACTGGTCCCTAGAAATTATCCGAGCTCCAATGTAGAACACAGATTAAATGTTTGAAACACTTCTGCCTCAGGGATGTTTCCGAAGCTCATGAGACGTTTATAAACCGAGTTAACAACTCTTTTCTTTCTGTCAGAAGGCTGAGAAAGAAGCATTTGAAATATCACCTGAGGCACTACTAAGCAGTGAAAGGGAGGACAGGTATGCATCGTTCATTTTTTTCCTTGTCTGAGTTAAAAAGTCACTGAGCCATGCCTTAAGATCCAAGTTCCTTAGATGGGAACAGATTGGGAGCAGAGAACTGTAAGGCTTGTTTATTCTCCTTCTCCACTGCAGCTTCCTGTGCCTTCCAAAGATTTGCTTCTGAGGATTGTGGAACTCAGAACTAGAGCAAACAGTAACTTGCATTATTTCCTCTTCCATAGTGAGGCGCTTCCACTGGATAGCAGTTTTCCCTTTGCAACCCTCAGGCTGAGAGGCAAGCAGTGCTACCTTGCGCAACACTGCCATGCTTTCCCTTTGGTTATGTAGTACTCAAGGCCCAAAGGTTTCTCAGTAAAAGAGCAGTGGGTTGAGGAAAGAATATGGGGGGGGGGGTGTCACAAGAGTGTACTTTTCTCCATAGCTAATGTTCCCAAAATTAACTTGATTTTTTTTCCCTAGCGTTAGTGTTGCAGACATTCCCCAGGAAAGACCTGATGACAATTCTTGGTGAAGATGAGGTAGTGGTAACTGGAAAAAAATGTGATTGATATGGAAAACAATCCTTGGGCAGTAAGGAGAATTATTTTGAACAACCTTAAATATTTATGTCTATAAAATAATTAATGAAGAAATAATATATTGGTATACATTGCTGTTAGTAATATTGCAGTATTGCAGGCCTTGAGAGAACAGTTTTGATACTTTGTATTATTTAGAAAATGTTGCTATTGTGAACAAACTGCTTAAATTATTTTATTGTATAAAGTGGACAGAAGGTTTCTTAAATTGATTTAAAAAGTTTTTTTTATTTTAAATTTAAATTAATTTTAAAAAGTATATTTTGCTACAATCATTATAGAAGTTGAAAATTTCTCAGTTTCAATGTATCTGGATTGTATTGTTCCATAATATTGCATTCACAAATAGTGAGTTATAGCTCTCTGTAGCCAAAGCATCATTAACATTAATTAAAATCTGCATTTTTGCACAGAATGCATTTGAAGATTTTTATTTTTTGAATATTAACTGTACATTGAACTAAGTGAAACACTTTTAGAAACAGCCATATTTTATATCCTCTCACTTCATATCCTGTACAAAGAATAGAATAGAATAGAATAGAATAGAATAGAATAGAATAGAATAGAATAGAATAGATCGACTTCCGGTGGCAGGCGACTTCGTCGGTCGCAGCTGTTTGCTGCCTCCCGCCTGTTTCGCGTAAAAGCCGTTTTGACAGCCAGTACCAGCTGTCAAACGGCCTGATACCTTTCCCCTGGGCATAAGGGGATAGGTGAGCTGCTCGGGGTAGGAGTTGAGTTCCCGAGTCGTCCTATATGGACGATGTAGGTGAGAACTCCTCCGGAGCCCCGAGGATTCTCCGCGATCCAGGACGCCTTCGCTTCGGCGAAGCTAGAAGCCGCCGCCACTGCTGCAACTTAAAGTTAACTGTGAGTTTTATTTGTAAGCAGACGAACCAACCTTGGAAGCTTGTTTTTTATT